TCTAGGTGTAGTTCCTATGGTCCAGGTGTAGTTCCTATGGTTTAGATATAGTTCCTATGGTCTGTAGTTCCTATGGTCCAGGTGTAGTTCCTATGGTCAAGATGTAGTTCCTATGGTCCAGGTGTAGTTGCTATGGTCTAGGTTAAGTTCCTATGGTCCAGGCATAAATTCTATGGGCCAGTTGTAGTTCATATGGTCTAGGTGTAGTTCCTATGGTCTAGATGTATTTCCTATGGTCCAGGTCTAGTTCTTATGGTCCAGGTGTAGTTCCTATGGTCCAGGTGTAGTTCCTATGGTCCAGGTGTAGTTCCTATGAGAAGAAAGATAAAGAAAAAACCATGTTAATGAAATAAAAAATGACAAATACAAGCATGAACAGTAGAATGAGTGAGGACATGCGGTCAGTTTGTCCTCCAGCAGGCTAAGCCTAAAACAGCAGAACTATGGGAGAGTTCAGGAAACCCAAGCGGACCCTAACTGTAGGATTTATCAAAAAAGGAAAGTCCTGAGCCTTGTCTTAAAGTAGACAGTGTCACAGACACACAAAGCTAAATTCTAGAAACTTTAGCATCTAATGTTTTTTTAATTTCCTTTAGTTTCATTATTTGTTTTTTAATCCAAGATGCTGAAACCTGCATCGACTTTGTGTCCTGAAGATAAATAAACACAACAAGAAGTAATTCTGCATCATCGCCCGTACTCATGTTCGTTATTACGCCCTGTTGCTCTGATTTAATTACAAGACATCTAATGGATCGATGTGAGGTAAGTCTCCAGTCTACACACACTCAGGTGTGTGTGTGTGTGTTGACAGTGTGGCGCAGTGCCTGCTGAGAGCCAAGCTGTCTCTGCTCCACCTTGTCAGAGTCCAACTCAGATGTTCCATAAACGCCCCCGGGAGCCAGTCGGACGTCCTCATTGGGACCAGTCAGCTGACTCGCCTCCAGAAACTGGTTTTAAACAGGAAAATGTGCAGCTGATTGTGTGTTTGGGTCGTGTTGAATGTGAAAACATGCTGTCCAACGATCCGCGGGCCCAGCAGAGCCCCGAGGGTTGATGTTGAAACCGAACATTCACACCCTTATTTAAAGGAGTCCTCGGCTGATAAGGGTGTGTGAAGGCCGGGGCTGATACGAGACTGTGAAGGCAGCGTTTATCAACACATTTATTTTATGACCTTTGGTTTCAGCCGCCAACTTTCTTAAGTGTCTGTTTTATAGCTAAAGTATTTAAGCAAGGGCAAAGTCTCCATTCAAGACTTCTGCTCAAGAAAAGTCTAATCCAGTGGTTTTCAAGATGTACTGGTACCGCTGAAGGTACGTTAGCTCCCTCTTCTGGTGCGAAGAAGCATTTTAATCATCTGTTGACTGTTTTAGCTATCCACGATCTCGTTCATTCAGTCAGAGTTCCTCACCATAGATGAGTGTAGGAGCGTAGAGGGCTCAGCTTCCCCTTCACCACAACGGACCGGCACAGAGTCCACAATACTGAGGAAGTTGCACAGATCCATCTGTGGATGTCACGCCCCACTGACTAGCTGTTAATTAGTCAAATTCTAAGTGGTTTATTTGAGCACTTGCACCATCTTGTGTTGATGTGAGACCGATCTTTGCTGCAGTCTGAGCCCAGCAGATATCTGGACCCATCTCTAACAGAAATATTCACAGTTTCCTGTTTGCATCCTGTTCTTGTCAAATATCAGCTGAATAAACCAGCTTACCAATACACTAAAGGGAGAGGTTAACGTTGAACTGAATATTAGTAAATACAACAAAGTCCATGCTCAATAATCCAGGTATACAATCCAACATTTTTCAGTCTGGTCATCTGGACAGTTTCTTTTTTTTGTGCTGAAACGTTTCGCCTTCGATCCAGAAGGCTTCATCAGTCAAGGAAACACACAACAAAACTGATTCTTCCCCCAACAGCTTACTCCAAAGTGGAACAAACCAGTTAGGTTGGTGCTAAGATGGTGTCTTTGGCACGCCCCCTCCTCCATCCTCCTCATTCCATCTTAGCACCAACATAACTGGTTTGTTCCACTTTGGAGTAAGCTGTTGGGGGAAGAATCAGTTTTGTTGTGTGTTTTCTTGACTGATGAAGCCTTCTGGATGGAAGGTGAAACGTTTCAGCACAAAAAAAGAAACTGTCCAGATGACCTGACTGAAAAACGTTGGATTAGTAAATACATTTACTTTTTAAAAAAAAGTGTATCTGTCTGTGAGTTTGACCGTTCTGTTTAAAAATAACGACGAGCTCTGACGTTTCCTGTGTTCATTTCAGTTACGTGCTGATCACTGACCTGGCGGCCTCGGTAACCTTCGTGAAGCTGTGCGAGGAAGTGAAGACCATGTGCAGCGTCGCCCAGCAGCAGCCGATCACACTCAAGTGGATCGACGACGAAGGTGACCACACTTCATGATCCGGACGTCAGCCTGAGAACGCAGCGTAGTAATTCTTGCATTCAGCTTTGAGCCACATGTTTCAGTGAGCATGCCAACCAGCAACACTGGTCTTACAGCTGGAACACAATGAGGTTTGGTGGGATGTCTTTCTTAGATCCAAATTCTGACGTCCGGGTCAAATACCACACACAGTTGTGATGTACTGTAACCTGAAGCACAGAGCTCAGAGCAGATCAGACTGAGACGTTTCATACCTAAACTCAAAACTCATCTTTCACACTGTTGATGTTTTTACCTGTTCATAGAATGCATGAATGTGCAGCACGGTAGTTCAATTCAATTCAGTTTATTTCTGTTGCACCAACAGACAAGAGAAGCTGCCTCAGGGCACTGAACAGAAACATTCACATACATAAACAGCCAATTAGTAAAAGTTCTCTATGGAAGGAAGCAGCAGATGGAGTTGAATCTTCACTTCATCACAGTCCCCCATCCTGAGCGAGCACAAAGGAGACAGTGGAAAGAAAAAACTCCCTTTTAACAGGAAGAAACCTCCAGCAGAACCAGGCTCAGGACGAGCGGCCGTCGTCCGGCTGGGTTTGAGAGGACAGGAAGTAGAAACAACCACAGAATGACAGGTCCAGGTGTGGTTTCTATAGAAGGAAAGATAAAAAAAAACATGTTAAGATAGAAATAATTACAAATACAAACGGGTAGAGCAAGTAAAGGCAGCAGCAGAGAGAGGACATGTGGTCAGGTTGTCCTCCAGCAGTCTCAGCCTATAGCAGCATAACTAAGGGATAGCTCAGGAAACCCTAACTATAGGATTTATCCAAAAGGAAAGTCTTAAAACTGGACAATGTGTCAGCCTCACAGACAGAAACTGGAATTTGGTTCCACAAGAGAGAAGCCTGATAACTGAAAGATCTTCCTCCCATTCTACGTTTGAAAACTCTAGGAACCACAAGTAAACCTGCAGTCAGAGAGCGAAGTGCTCTGTTAGGAAAATATGGAACAAAATGATCTGTAATATAGAATGAATAGATATAAGTTTAGTGGTTAGCACTGTTGCCTCGGAGCAAGCAACCTGGGCTCGATCCCCGGGTTGGACCTGGGATCTTTCTGGGTTTCTGTTTTTGAGTTCTCCTCATGGGTTCTCTCCAGGTGCTCGCGTTTCTTCCCACCGTGTAAAAACATGCACGTGAGGCTGCCTTCAGGCCTCCATTGCAGAAGAGATCTGTGGTCTCAATGGGATTTGCCTGGTTAAATAAAAGTGAACAATTAATAATAATAATATTAATAATAATAATAATAATATATACGTGCGTGTTCATGTGACAGGGTCACATGTTCCTGAACGTTAGCCCGTCTGTTTTCTGTTTGCAGGAGATCCTTGCACCATTTCCTCTCAGATGGAGCTGGAAGAAGCTTTTCGGATTCACAGTCGGACCAAGAGATCCGGACTGATGCTGCACGGTGAGTTACTTTTCAAGTAAAGAGTTGACTTCTATTGAATAAAAACTTTGATTCTAGAGCTGGAGTGTGGTTTAACACAAAATGTGTTTTAGGTTTTATAATTAATCTCAATCACATTTTATCAAATAGTAATATTCAACACAGTAAGCAAAGACTTCCATCCATCCATCCATCCATCCATCCATCCATCCATCCATCCATCCATCCATCCATCCATCCATCCATCCATCCATCCATCCATCCATCCATCCATCCATCCATGCATCCATCCATCCATCCATCCATCCATGCATCCATCCATCCATCCATCCATCCATCCATCCATCCATTCATTCATTCATTATATTTTACCCACTTCTTCCTTTTCGGGTTGCGGCAGTCACTGGTGTCCATGTCCAGCAGTCACTGTGTGAGAGGCGGGGGACATCCTGGACAGGTCTGCAGTCCATCACATGGACACATGGAGACAAACGAGACAATCATTCACTCTCTCACTCACACCTAGGGACGATTTAGAGTTACCAATCAGCCTAACATGCATGTTTTTGGTCTGTGGGAGGAATTCTGGTCGGATTTGAACCAGGGCGACCTGCTCGCTGAGAGGCAGCAGCTCTACCAACTGCACCACCGTGCCGCCCCAAAGAGTTTCAATTCTAATAAATTATGGTTGATGTCTGAATCAATGAATAAACATACCTGAAAAAAAAGTTAAATCAGGCCATCTGTCCAGATTCTTCTTGGTTGAAACGTTTCGTCTTTTATCTGAACGACTTCGTCAGTCTGAGGCCTGCCACAAACTCTGTTGTATAAATAACATCTTTTCAAAGTGGATCCAACCAGTCTGCTGTGGACTTCCAGAAACTAACGTTTCACACGTAAAAGGAGGAGCATCAGTCTAACAGTCGATCGTTGGTGGCCTGATGGCCGCTTGCTCTTCACAGAACCAGCCTGAGGACAACCCGGCCAAAGTGGTTCAAAAAGGAAACATGCATGAACTTAAACAACAAAAAGTTTTTTTAATCTTGTATATTAATTTAAGGTATATTCACAGATGAGTGCAAATTCAATGTACAAATGAAATATTTTTAATAATGATGATGACATTTATGATAATAAAAGTAACCAACAATAAAAAGTTAAAGATAATATTATTATAAATAAAGCTACTGCAATTTCAGCAGTCTCCACTGAGACCATCATTTGGTCTCTGTGGGCCGGTTGGACCAACTACCTGTAGACGGCAGAGACTCCTGAAGGACGGCTGTAGCGTTCGCTTCAGTACCAGTGTTCGCAAACACCCGTTTTCTTTTACATCAAACCTTGATGCGCTGCGCTGATGAGAAAATTCCTTTTGGCACAGTTTACACATAACTTTGTTCTTCTTCATGCTACCATTAGGATTTATTTATTTATTTTCCCCCGCCCAACTTGTCCTCCATTTCTATTTAACAAATGTCTTGAGCTACATGCTGCAGGTTTTAAACACACTTTAGGTGCATTACTGCCACCTACTGGGCTGGAGTGTGAACAGCAGCGTTATCAGCAGATCCCGATCGAAACGGAAATTTTATCTGTCGCCAATACCGATATTAGGAGGGGCGACCACCGATAACCTATAATGGCTGAAAAGTTTTGAGCCTTGTCCACCCCCATGAATCTAAGGACTGATTCCTATAACTACTGACAACGAGGCTAACGTGAAGGAAGTGCAACTGAACACTAAGGTTAGCTTGCTAACTTGAGAGGCGCTTAGCTAATGACAAGCAGGTTGGATTGAAGAGAATTTATTATTGTTGATTTTTTTATATTACAGATCAGTTATAAAATAAACTTACCATGCTCTGTTCAGCAAAATACGCTCCACGGTGTTGCTCCCTGCTTCGTCTGTGCTGAAAGTGAAAGTTAAGTGAACGGCCATGACTTGAAAGTGGTCTTCATGCGCCCTCTGCTGGATACATTGTACAATTTCGGCTGGTTCCAGCATTTTAGGGGTGAAAATTATGTGTTTATGTCAGCGCATAATGGAACAATTATCACCGATACGATATGTCCCCAAACGTTTATATCGGCCCAAATTATTGGCCCTGCCGACATATCGGTTGTGCTGTAGTTATCAGTGTTAAAAAGAGGGGAACTGAAGTGTGATTAAATGAGCTAGTTTTTAAAAAAGTGTTATTTTTATCTGTAATTAAGTAACGTGTTAAAAGTCTCGACCCTAACCGAGTCACAAAAATCCCATTTTGTGTTATAAATAATGACTAGCACAGAAAAACCTTCTGAAAATGAATTAAAAAATCTGAATTTTTAAACATTTTAGACTTTCAAATGTTAAAAAGTTTAAGGAAAGCCAGCATTTTTTTCTCTAAAGTAAGTTTGTACCAAAGATTTCAAATCAATCCATCGTTTTGCCTTTTAAACTTTCAAATTCCTCCATTTTTTTAAATGTCTGGTTACGATCTGCTGACCGTGGAGAATAGTATAAATCCCTTTCACATGTTTTAAATTTAAATTATGTGCATTTTTAAAAATGTTTCAGTCTGTTTTGATTATGAACTGGAGCTCCTTCTTTCATTGTCACTCTTAAAACTCAGTTCTTGCATCAAATCTAGTTTAAATCTTTTGTTTAGTTGCATTATTTTCATTTCTACCTTTAATATTATCCGTAGTTGTCTTTGATTTGTCTACAGGTGCATCTAAAAAAAATAAATAAAAATAACCATTTTATAGTTTTATTTAACTGTTATTGATCTTATAACTTATAAAAACATTTTCCTTCCAACAGCAACATGAAAAGTACCAGAATGAAGTCAGTGAATGTTTATGAACCTACTTTAAATACATTTTAATGCCAGATACTATTATAAAGACTAAAATTTATATTTTACAAGAACGGCTTCAGTGTAACAGAAATCTGTTTGATCTACAGATTCACCCCAAAATAATCAGGTGACATTAAAAGTTGTTGTTATTCTTCTTTAAGTCTCATTTCCCCTGGATTATAGTAAACGTAATAAATTAACTTTTTAAAACTTTGTCTGTTCCAGTTTTCCCCAGCATCCCGGAGAAGCCCGGCCTGCCGTGTCCCGGAGAAGACAGTGAGTGAAAACCTTTTATTTTTCACCTTTCTCTGAACCCGTTCTCCTCTCAACCTTTCCAGCGGTGAATCAGAGGCGGCACATCTGGATATAATGTCAGAAATGTTCCGAGTTTAATATTAAATATCTTCAAGTAAGACACCGTGAAAATCAGTCTTTACTGATTTACTGTTTAATAATCTTTCTTCTGCTCAACGTTTGCTTGGTTTTCTCTTGTTTCCTCCTGCTGTGAATTTATTCATGTAAAGGATCTGAAATTAACACGACTCATCGCGGGAGTCTGGATTTTATTTAAAGACGCAAGAAACGAGCTCGGGACAGTTTTCACATTTGCGTGAACAGTGACAACCCTGCAAAGAAAGTTAAGATGTTTGTAAAATACAAATAAGCAAATCGGCTCTTCTTTGTTTTATTACCAATTTTTATTTTATTTTAATGAATTGGAAAATCCTCCATGCTGCACTCGGTTTTATTCCAATACGCCTTAGAACCAAAATATTCCTGGATCAGTTCTGGTGTGGACGAAGCCCCACCTCTGCTAGCTTCTGATGCGCGGCTGCTGATGAGTATCTGAGTAATCCTGCGGACAAACAAACTGAACGAGCCTCGTGCGCTCCGAGGCCGCACAAGTTTAAAAGCTGTTCCTCTAATGAAATGGGACCAGATTTCTCTTTAGCTCTGCACAATGATGAAGCTCTGCAGAGCAAAGGGCGCGCTGTAATTAAAAGCTCCGGGTTTGGGCTCTTGGGGACGTCGGCGTGCTCAGTCAATTTCATGGCAGCCCTCTTATCAAAGAATATGATACTTTAGTTCAAATTGAACAGTTCGCCCCGAAGACCTGGACTCGCCAACCATGAATTTCTCTCTGGATTCTCTCATGAACTTTTGAGTCCAAAGAAATGAAGACAGAATCGTGCTGCGGTGAACAGTTTGGATTCCCCAGCTGTCAACGGGTTGACGAACACGGGGGCAAACACTTGTAGCTGAGCGTTCAGCGAGTGATGGATTGTCTGTTAGCTGATGTTTAGCTGATTTTACAGATGCTCCCATTTAATTAGGCAAAATAAACTGTTTCTCAATCTGGGTCACAAATGGAGCGAGAGATAGATCGACAATGAATTGGGGCCTCGTTCGCGGTAATGAGAGCGTTGGTCTGGTCTGTGGTGGGGAAGAAAGATCTGAGAGAAAGTCATGAGATTGCGGATTCAAGCGGCCGAAACAATCTTCTGTCGTGTGTCCACCCTTAGAGACGGGGTGAGGAGCTCGGAGTAGAGCCGCAGCTCCTCCTCATCGAAAATCAGCTGAGGTGGTTCAGCGTTTGATTAGGAGGCCTCCTTGGTTAGGCACGTCCCGCTGGGAGGAGACTCCTCAGAACTCGTTACACAGATTATAAATCTCCGGTCTGGGAAGACCTCGAGGCTCCCCAGGAGGAGCTGGGGTGTCTCTGGGGAGCCCCATCCACAAAGGAGCAGCAGAAAATGGATGGATGGAGGAAGAATATGGTTGTACACTTTATTTATTTATTTTGAAAAAGAAATCGTGATGTAGCCCAAATAACGAAACAAAAAAGTTAACCTAATTTACTCAGAACAGAGATGAATTAAATGTTTAAGACCTAAAATGGATTAAATCAAACAGTTTTTAGGTTTTAAGCCATTGAAACTGCAACATGTGTATATTTATTTAAACATTGTGACTAAGTTTCCTTCGTACTGGTTCTGCTGGTTGCTCCTAAAGTTGTTGATCAAAGAGTTAAAATCCATATTTTTATTTAAGACTAGTGGAGATATTCTGTTATCCAGAACTTAGCCTGGTGTTAATCTGTTAATCCAAAAGTGCTGATGTATATTCTCAGTAAACCTTGATAATCTAAGAAACATTCTTAACGCATTTGACTTGAAGTTCAACAAGTTTACTTTCATTGATTATTTATTTATCGATGCACATCGTAGGTAGAACTCACGCGGCGGCGAGAAAATTGAGATAAACTATAAGAACCACGTTGAAACTCGCGGTGAAGTTTGTGCCAGAGTTCACCAGAGGTGTGTGCACGTGAAGAACGCTTCTAACGCTCCAGAACTGTGGAAACGAAACTTAAGCTGGGCCTCAGACGCTCGTGATGATTTCAAGAGAAAATTAGTTGCACAGTTATTATTTTTAATTCCTGAAGCATGAGGGTGAGTGCGTGCGAGTGTTTGTGGTCTGCCAGCAGCGGTGAAGCTGGTGGAGAACCTTCAACCTGCTCAATGTTTTAAACATCACGCAGTTTTCCATGAAGGATCCTTGAAGCTGGACTTGAAATGAGCTCGGAGGCGACGACACAAAGAACTCACAGTATCTTCTGTGAGCCATGAGAACTTTAAGAGTTTCATCTTTGCATCTGATTGACATTTTAATAAACATCTAAATATTATTGTCCCTCCCCCCTCACACCGTTTGCTGCCCCCCACCCCTCGCTGTGTTTGCCGTGGCGGCAGGTTTCTGCAGCGTCTGGACCAGACTCCTGGGCGAGAACGTTTGTGTTTTATGGTAGGGGAGGTTTCATTTCCTGAGACAGACTCAGTTTTCTGTTCGAAGCGAGGAGCTGAACTCGCTCTGAAGGTGCGTTCGAACAGACGCACACCTCGTGCGCCGCTTGTGTTCGTGTGCGTCTCCTCTTCAACCTTCACCTGCTTTCTGCTGATGCTGGTCATCTGAGCAGAGGACAGGAGCGTGGGAGCACTGAAGGGACGATAGGTGGAGGGAAACATTGTTGTTCATTCATTTACAGTGTTTATTTTCAAGGCCAGCTCCAAACTCCTGCTACAACGTTCACACACGGAAAACTCCCTGAAATGACTAAATATGAACGGACCAGCTGCTCTTCTCACAAACACACTTCACGTTTCCAAACCTACGACGCAAACGGTAAATAATTTGTCAGAGTAGATCATCTGTAACCAGCTGATATAAAAAATAATTGAGTTTTTTTTAAGTCCAACACTTCATCTGTTAGTAATAGAAGTACCGTATTTTTTGCCCAATAAGTCACAGTTTTTTTTTTTTTAAACAAGTTCTGCAACTTGTACACCAAAAGACAAAATTTCTCATATTTATAAACCAGTTTTTGGCTGAGATGTGACCGGTTTCATTCATTCTGACTGAAAATATTGAACACTATCATTTTCAGCCGCTAGATGGCCCTCGAGCAGTATGACATGCCGTTGTGTCATCTAATGGGTAAAAGTGGCTATTAATGATACAATCGGCTTGCCGTAGCCTGCCACCATCGTCTGTCTGGAGCAACCATCAAATCAGCTTCATTTCTCTGCACCGCCCCGACGAAATGCAACTGATCTGACCATTGAAGTGCATTTATTAAGTAAAAGTTCAACTGAGACACACCTTTACTATAAAGTTGAACAAACAAATAAATGTTTTTAGGTGGCTATCTTGTTAAATTCTTGTTAAAGTCCTCCCGTGCACGCTGCCGCGGCCGCCATTTGGCAGCCAATCGATTTTTGGTTGAACACCAGCCCACATTTCCAGGTTGTCAGCGGTGACGCAGAATAGATGAGACGTATACGGTGCAGCGATGTTTTCATGGCTTGTTCCACTTCATTAGACATATTTGGACTGATGCCACATGTTGGGCGGTGCGACGCAGAAAATACGGTAATAGTTATTTTCTAACGTTCTAGAGCAAACGACTTCAGATTAATTCATTCTGATTTGCAGGTGAGTTTGTACGACTGGTTTAGTTCCTCCTCGATGCTGTTTTTATTGTTTTTAAGTTTGAGCTTCAAAATCTTTAGATAATTGTTTTTTTATGATCATTTTAGAGGAGAGTTATAGTTCTACAGACATGATTTAAACACAGCTTCATAATTTATTTTTAAATTTAAGGGATGCATTTATTATTTTTTATGACCAGGCGTTTGCTTCAATTTTTTTTAATTTAAGGTGTGAAGAGAAAGTAAGATCAGACTTTATTTATCTCACAATTAGGGATTTAAGATGTCACAGCAGCAACAAGAATGCACAGAAAAAAAAAATATTTTCAACATATTTACAGAAAAAAGTTTATGTGCACATATAAATATATAGTATGTACATTAGAGCACGACCAGTATGTACATTTTGTCTTTCGCTGATATTAGGAGGGTACAGTGACCGCCAATAACCGATATAATGGCTGCAAATTTTTATTTTTCTCCGTCCCAAGAATGTAAGAAAACAGCGAGTGGGGCGGGGCTTGTTTATTTAGCGCAGCTGTTAGCAACCATGAAGCTAAGCTAATCAGATCCACGCTTTAATTAGTCCCACAGTAGGTGTACAAGTGGTGCACTGGTCATAAAAACTGTCTTCTAACGTGAGTTCACATCTTCTATCCTCCACTGTTCACCATAAAGTCATGAAGTGTGTCCCAAAAATATAAATCAAACAAAGAAACACCTTTACCTGTTCGTTGTTTCAACAGTCAGTGACGAACGGTGAAGGTGTAATTAGTAGTGACCGCAGCAGGGTTTCTTATTTTTCTCTACAGAAAGTAAAGATTTGAGACAAACAATACATTTTACTGAGAGCAACAAAGACAAAGTTACTAACTCTGATACATTTCATCTCTACGTTAGATTTATTGCTCTGGATAAAGTTTTATAAGACAACAGCCTATGCTAGGTTATCAAACGCTAGCTTGACAACTTGAGAGGCACGTAGCTAATGACAAGCGAGTTACAGGATGGAAGAGAATTCATTGATTTTTTTATTTTTTATTTTATTTTACAGATCAGTTAAAATAAACTTACTATGCTCTGTTCAGCAAAATACAGATATTTTACTAACAGACTCACTCGGATATGTAAAACATTATAAAAGTGTCACAGGTTGAGTTCATTTTATTTAGACTGTGTGTGTGTGTCAGTAGAGGGTAGGAGCAGGTGGAAATGGATGGTGCGCTGGACTTTCCATCAGCATCAAGCACCGCCCACTCTCAGCCCCACCTCCCTCCTCCACGCTGT